GCGTGTTCGAAATAATGAAATTCGACTGTAATTCAATTTGTGAAAAGAGGTCGGAAAACTAGCAAGTGGAATAGCATTAGGAGAGTGTGACACAGTATTGCGGAAATTGAGGATAAAGGTGTTACGGACCACGAACTTTGTGAACAAAAAAGTGCAGTGAGTGGTGAATAAGTGGGCGGTGAGGTCAACGGAACGTGGAAAGAGAAAGGCCAAGAGAGAAGAGCAAGATACAAGGTTGCATCATATGGAGAACGAAAATGAGCAGCTTTTTGAGAAAAAACTCTTCAAAAGGGAGCCCAATGTGATGAGTAAAGGAGAGGCACATGCCAAACATGGAACCGCGACAACGGTGCACGAGGAGAAAAAGTCAACGGAGGGCTCGCGCACCAACCACATCGTCGCAGGAGACTGCTCAGAGAAAGCTTCGTAGCATGCGACCTGAGCCGGGATAAAAAATACCAGAGGATGAGCTGGCAATGTGCGTCGGGTCTCCGAGCTGCGAAGATGTGGGAAAGCAGCGCTGCTACAGCAACGAGAGCAACTTAGCCGCCCGGTTCTGAAGGATGTCGACGAGAGAGGCCCGGGAAGTGGCCGTCGACCTCAGGGGGATTTCCAAGCGAGGCTGCCCAGACTTGCCGTGCCGTTGCCCAGCAGTTTCTGGTGGACTTGCAGATATCCCACTTCGCGCCGGTTTGGTAGCGGCCCACACCAGCCAGCAGAATGATAAATTGGGGGACCCTTAAGCTTCACCTATAAGAATTGAACGCAATGGTGAAATCCGGCCCCTAGTAGGCCCTTCAACCGCTCAGTGCATACTTATTAATGTGTCATGTTACACACACCCGCATGTACACACACACACACACGCACACAGTAGATTGTACCAGCACGCACGAATGGTACATACAGGTTTTTGATCTAAAGCAAGAGTCGCACGGCCTCCAAGATAAACGCCGCGCGCTCGCCTGGGAGGCCATAAAGAGTCTCACAATGCCTCACAGATGGCAGCACATTATTTAGCGTTTGCTGTTTGCTTGACTAACGCCTCAGGAGAGGCATCATATGTTTTCCACGAGATGGACATAGTTGCCTATTTTTAGAGCTGTTTGAAAGTTCCTGTGTTTTCAGCGGCAATGGCTGCACTATCCCGACCTTTTTCGACGTAGTTTGAGGCCTCCGAATGCGCCTAGAAATCGCCAAATGGGCTCGTTTTCGTCACGACACCTGTCCAAAAAAACACGTTAAAGGGGCCCTGATACACTTCTCCAAGCAACCATGGAATGAATTCACTAGACAAGCTTATTTCCTCACAATTCAATGCCGCAAAAATTTTGAGAATTCGTCCAGTGCGAGTGGAGTTACAAAAGGTTTGTCGCATGCTGCAATTGCATTTTCTCTTCTCTCATCCCCATGAAAGCGCTGGAAGCCAAGCAGGGAGGGGTGGCAGGAGCAAAGAAACAATGTCACTTGCACCTCGTGACCTTGAATACCTTTTTCCTTTTCCCTTCGAATGCGCAGCTTTCTCAGTGTGATCGTGCGCGCACGCGTGGACAAGTAGCGGTCTCCCACGGCGATCTCTGTAACGGGCTTTTTCGCTTATGGATGATTTTTCACTCACAACTAACGGGGCCGACGTCGACGGCAAAATTCCTGCTACACGAGCTCTCTAACACTATCGCATTAACACAACAGTAGGGGGAGTCCATGACGACCCAAGCCTAGCCCGGTGAAGAGGACGACCGGTTTGTTCGGCAGGATCAACTGACGGCGAAAGTAACAATTGGAGCAGCTCGTCAATGACAAAGGACTCAACTAAACGTGGACACAGAAAAGGGCAACAAGTCAGAACGCAATTAATTGTAAGAACATTCTATTGTTGACGCCAAATTGACTTAGGGCTAGCAACGAATTCAAACTGAGCTACAGCCAGTTTGGATTTGCTCATGTGCGCGGTTTGTTACTGAGTTATCAGTTCAAAAGTATTGTGGCTCGGGCGAGCTGGTTATCCATGAACATAGCTTGTATTAGCGCGGCACAAATGAAATGTAAAAGGGAAAGATGGCCCCTGATCTGTACAGCTGCAACGTTATCAGCCGGTCTCGGAATCAGCTGCCATGTGAAATTGAATAAAGCGAAGCTATAGCAGATTTCATTTCATTTCATTTATTTACTCTCAAGGCCGAAGCATTACAGAGAGGAGCGGGTATACATCGTACAGAAAATCAGGAAATACAGCAAATCAAAATTATATGCGCACAATGGCGATCTGAAAACCATAAAAGAAAAGAAAGACTGCGTGATGTGAAGAAGAGGCAACAACAATGTTCAACATGGTTGCGTCTTTGAATGACACGCGCACACAAAAAACTAACAAGAGAAAACACAGCGTGACTTAAGTGGCGAATTTACGCGAAATGGTTAGAGAGGGCATTTTTAAACAGAGTGAGGTCAGTGATAGCAGCGATAGGGGCGGGAAGGTGGTTCCACTCATTTGCAGTTTTCGGGATGAATGATTCAAAATATAAATTCGTGCGGGCGCTAGGAACGCCCACTTTAAACTGAAATGATGATATAAGGAATTTGTGTGTGAGCTTGCCATCATTTGCACTACCGGATAAAGAAGTGACATTTTTTTTTTAATGAGACCACATGCAAGATGAGTTGTGTTTTTACGCATGTGTAAGATGGGTGTAATATGCATGAAATAAACAGTTGAAAGTTTAGTGCCTACCTTTCTTGACATCTGTGTCGTCTTTCTCTTATCGTTTCCATATTTGCCACACTAGTACAAGCTAAGTTATCGATTGTTATTGAGTTAATGAGTTTTGTTGAGTTAATGGGTGTTATTGGGCTATTGAGTGCTTTAACCTGAATTCTGTGTATTGTTCTTTCTGTTTTGGGTGATGAAGTGTAATTGTCTTGCTACACGCGTCTCCCGTTTCTCTCAAATCCATCCTTCGCAAGCGCTTCCGAGACAAAATTTGTGAAAATGTCTCTTATAAGCAAGGTACCTTGTATTCATTTCCTTACCAACCTGTATTTTACTGTCAGCACACTGGTGTCCTTTTTACCCATCTGTTTCTTATATGAGTGTCTCTTATAAAGGGGTTCAAATGTAAGAATATGTGGCGTATTTACATCTCAAAACCACCATATGATTACAAGAGACGCCGTAGTAGAGGGTTCTAAAAACTTTGACCATCTGGTGTTCTTTAATGTGCCTTGACATCGCACAGTGCACAGGCCTGTATCATTTCATCTCCATTGGAATGAAACTGCTGCAGCTGGGATCAAACCCATGACTTTTAAACGTGGGTTTGGTCCCAGCCACGGCAGTCTTATTTTTTACAGCAAAAGCTGCTATGAGATCACAACAAGGGTCGCGTGCGCCCTCACCACTGCCCGTATCCACTATCACGCGAAATGAGAAAAACTTGGGGAATAAAAAACACTAAGGTCACAATGGGATTCGAACTTGGGTCCTGTGCGTGCCAGCCCAGTGAGCCATAGCAGTGCTTAAAACTGTGTTGCAAACTGATCCTAGGCAGGCTTGATGTCGGGAAAGGAATAAATATAGTATGAGTAATAAAGCATTTTAAAATAGCCAAGGAACAATAGGGTGTCATACAATGTGAATTCCATACCGAGTGGGTTGTTCAATGCTCCAAACCTTCTTCAGGCATAATTCTTCATTGTCAATAGCTACACCATAAAAAAATTGCACGAAATTCCATGCAAGTCTGTAGTGGGTACCACGCTTCTTCGAAGAATAACGAAGGATGGCATAGTGAATGCCCTCCCGCTACAAAAAAATTATGATAATTTATGACAGTGGGTGATGATAATGATATGTGGGGTTTAACGTCCCAAAACCACCATATTATTATGAGACATGCCGTAGTGGAGGGCTCCGGAAATTTTGACCAGTTGGGGTTATTTAACGTGCACCCAAATCAGAGCACACGGGCCTACAACATTTTCGCCTCCATCGGAAATGCAGCCGCCACAGCCGGAATTCGATTTCGCGACCTGCGGGTCAGCAGCCAAGTACCTTAGCCACAGGACCACCATGGCAGGGCAAGGCATAGTGGGTACCCTGCCAGTGCGCTTGTAACAATCACTCAAAGAGTGTTTAAAAAAAGGCTCTGAAAGGCCACACTTCCGGCATTTGCTGTGATTTCGCTGTGCATTGCACGCAGGCCTGGCAGCTTTTAATAGCAAGAGCTGTTATAAGATCACAACTGGGGGCTTGCGCAGCGCCGTAGTTGTCCGCCGCCACAGCCGCTGCTGGTGTCCACAACCACATTGCGCGAAATTAGTAAATATTTAAATCAATGAAACAGTGGGGCTCAAACTCAGGGCGAATGGTTGCCAGCCCAGTATTCTACCACTGAGCCACGCCGGTGCTTGGGAATTGTTGGCAAACTTGCCTTAGGCAGGTTTGATGTCGGGAAAGCAATCGCGTTAATACGACTTAAAAACGTTTTAAGACAGCGAAAAAACAAGCAATCATCGCACAATGCGAATAGAGTAACGAGTGGGTCGTGCATTGCTCCAACTCAATATGAAAGCTTCTTCTAGTTCAGCTATTAACTGTGGCACATACCCACTTCAGGCACAATTCCTGATCGTCGTCAGCCGCTGCATGAACAATTGGCACAATATTCCTCGCGATAGTTTCGAGGATACCACGTTTTTCAGAAAAATGATAAAAAATAGCATAGCGAATGGCGGCCTACTACCCTAAAATTTTTACTATTAATGCCGTAGTGGGCATCAAGCAAGTGTGCTTGCAGCAGTTACCAAATGAGTGTCTCGAAAAGGCTCTAAAAGGCCGCTCATCTGGCTTTCACTGTGACTGTGCTGGGCCTTCTGTGCAGGCTTGGCGTTTTCTTTTTTTTTAATGTCCTCCATGTCTTGAAGTCAACCTACCCACTCATTCTTTGTTAGGTGCCAAATGACACCACGTTATACTACAATTGAAGTTGGCCTGTGCTTACCATTCAAAATTCGTGATGTACTGGTAGTTGTTTTGGGAACAGATGTCTATTATCTTGGACAAAAGCTCATCTCGGTAGGTGGTTCCTTCTGCCCGATCCATGTGGACCATCAACTTTTTCACTATCTCCATCAGGTTCTTCTTCGACACCTGCACAAGAGATGCCAGACACACACCTCGTAAATGAAAACTCCATGTTGCTTTATTAGCATTCAATCAACAGGTAGGGGGAGAGAACGTCACAGCTCACAATGAAAATCCTTCCACTTCTAACTAGAGGTTGGCAAGAAATGTGGAGCTCACTTTGAGTTGCTCATAAAATATACTTCCCTTTTAATATGTTCATTGTGAGGACCTTGCTCTGGCAGACTCGACGCTTTCAGGTAGTATGCGAAGGGTTACTGCTCAGCTGCCTTCTCGTAATAACATCACGTACTACATGATACCAAAGGACAAAAAAAGAAAAGATGGTCCCGCACGTGCCATCAAGGCTACCAGTGGCACTGACAAACATGCTTTGACTTTAAATGCACATGCATACCCCACAAAGTGAATGGGTAGATGACCGCCTCCATAGCTCAGTGAATGAGCATTGACCACACTATCTGAAAGTCGCAGGTTCAATCCCTGCCGGCGAATCTTTTCGTCCACTTTGCACATCACAATTGCTACAAACAACATCCCCTGTACTTTCCTTGGCATCATTGTTCTCATTAATATTCTGTGTAACAAAGAAAAAAGCACCCTTATATTTTCATGGGATTTATACATGTGGCATTGAAAATCCCAGCTTTGTCGTTGGAGGTCGCATTAGTTTCAGAAAAAACTGTACTGTTCGGAATATTAGCTCAAGCATTATCTAAACCCCCTAAAATAATTGTGCTTGTTCGACATATTGGCATGGCGTGTGCATGGCAGTGGTTACAGGTCACAGGTTGGTTACGTGAAAACAAAGTAGCGTGGCAATATTATCACACTGTGGCAAAGAACCATCTTGTTTATTTTGTTTTTTTTTTAATGTGCACCTGAACAGAAGTACACACACTTTCATTAGCCTTGTTCGAATGGTAAATTCGAGGTTCAAAAATAATTCGAAGCAAATTGGTGGAATAATTTCGAATCGAATTTGAATATGTAATGGCAGTAGTGGTTCATCACATTTGCCTGTGCGTGGTCAACGAAGCGTACGATAAGAGATGACACACAAGAAGATTTTAAAGAACATTTATTACAACAATGTACTTGATGGACAACCAGGAAAACAAGCACAGAAAGAACACACTTAGACTAAACTGAAAGTTTTAATAACGCGAAGTGTTCAGTCTACATGAAACAACGAAAGCTCATGGCTTGTAGAACCAGCGTCTGGAAGAGGCGACGGTCCACGCGCAGTGACAATCCTTGTCGATAGTGAGCTCAGGCAAGCAGGTGGCACGTCCCGTGCCACCTTTCAGTTAAGTTCAAGTGTGTTCTTTCTGTGCTTGTTTTCGTGGTAGTCTTTCGAGTCCGCTGTTGTGATAAATGTTGTTTGAAATCTACTCCTGCGTCATTTATTATAGTTAGTTCCGTCGATCACGCACGGGCTGACGTGACGAACCACCCGTTGTTACAATTTCCTGGTGTCCGTGAGACAGGACTAAGCTCTCCTGTACATCTTTGAGCCTCATGTTGCTTGTGTGCAGGGCAGATAATGGACGAAAAGAGAACACCTGTTGAAATAGGAAAGGAGATGGGACTGAGTGGAGAGCATAGGTTAGTGCAGAACAGGAAGACATGAGAGATAAGCGAGCGGGAAGTAGCGAAGGTAGCGGCACAGGCGGGAGAATTAGCGTGTATGGAGGCAGAGCTCCTGGAAGCGCCATGGCATGTGTTAAAAGCAGAGCAGGCGAGTCCGACAACCGCAAGTAGCGGGACAGGTCACTGGTGGCTACATACACCAACAGAGGATGGACAGACCCACACCCTAAGGAGCTTCGCCCCTAAAATCACACCATATCCACGGAGTGAATGATGGCGAGTGGGGCGAAGCGTACGTAAGTCCATCCGTGCTTCTGTCCGTCCATTCGTTCTTGCTTCCGTTCGTCCATGCAGCCACCAGAGAGTCGATCCGTCGGTCCGTGCGTCAATCCGTCCGTTTAGTGAACACTCGAAGTACCACTATCTCGCATCTTTATATATTTATTATATACAAGTACCGTCATCTAGCGAACATTCCAAGAACTGAACTCTCCAGTGGCACATACTCGATAGAGGTGGTTAATACAGAAGACGATCCGGTGACGCCTTAAGGAGCTTCGCCCCTAAAAACCTCTCTGCTTTCTTTGCAGCAAGCCGGGACATAAAGCTTCCTACTGTTGGACAAGATCTAGAGCATCGAAGCTATCACCATGCTGGATATGTAAGCAGAGCGGCCACGTGTGTACTATTAGCTCTGGCGTGACTATTACTATTACTACTATTAGCTCAGACATGAGTACTATTAGCTCAGACATTTCCACATGCAGAGTGAGCAGGAAAAGCCAAAGCCTTCCAGCAAAGTGAATGTAACGGGCATGGTATGTTTGACATTGCTCAGAGCTGTACAACGTTCTGTGGAGGGAGCCAACAGATGCCGATGCTCACGGGTCGTCTTTAGGTAACGTGGCAACTGCTCTTTGCAGTTTCAGCTGCAACACAGTTGTAGTGAAAAGGTACCTCGTTCCAGACTCCAAGCTGGCTGGTAATCGCCATGCTATGTGTCTACACGATAGGTCTAAACAGAGTTTGCCAGAGGCCAAGGTATTCATCGATTCCAAGTTTTCATGGGAGTTGCTGTCACTGTTTGAATGGAGTACCCTCTGTATGGTGTTATCCTTGGCAACATCTAGGGTGCTGTCCCTATTGCCAACCCAGAGTCCAAGCAAACGGATTTACCAAAGAAGGAAGAGAAAAGTTCAGCGACAAAGCACAAATGGATTTCCCCCCCAAAGGAAGGAAAAAATTCAACGACAAAGCGCAGGAAGTAAAAAGAGACAGCTGCTACAAGAAAGACGGCAAAGGAGCAAAGGAAATCACCCGTACCACAAGTCAACCCATTAGACATCAGTCCAGAAAAACTGCGGGAATAGCAGAGAACAGATCCGGCACTGGAAGCTTGTTTTTAAGCAGTGGACCATACAACTACTTCCAGGAAACAAGCTACCTTAAAGTTAGTGCTGATCAACAGATTCCATTTCTGGCTTTGTTGGACTGCAGAACGGCGAAACTTTGAGTAAGTGATGGTTCCAAAGAAGCTACGGTCCACAGTAACGAAGATCGCACGCAAGGGAGTGCTCGCTGGACATCAGGGGCACGAGAGGACAACAGATTGTCCTAGAGGAATTTTATTGGCCGGAGTTCCAGCAGACGTCCCGTGCTTGGTTAAATCATGTGATATATGTCAGCGTGCGGCACCGAAGCACCTGGTAGGTCGTTTGCGCACATGAAAAATATGCTTGAAATCTGGACGCCATTTCAAGGAGTTGCGATCATCAGTATCGGTCCGCTGGTTCCAACTTCTAAAAACGTAAACATATGTTCATATGTTCCGACAATGATAGACATTGCTACGTGCTAAGCAGAGGTCGTAGCCTTGCCCAACGTTGAAACAGCACGGCAGCAGAAAACTCAGAGAAATGTTCGCTCGCGTTAGGGTCCCGCAGGAGATAATGAGTGACGTGGCAACGCATTCACATACAGCCTGATAAATACTGGGACAATTACTGTCATGTCGACAACTGCCCACAAAGACTAACCGCCCCAGAGCAAGCGGACTTCTTGAAAGACTCAATGGGACACTCGAGAAGAGAATTGGCGAATGTGTCAGAAGTGTCCTAAAGAATAGGACAGATATTTGGCTCCTCTTTCGTTTGCTTATCGTGAGCTCACGCAATCTAGCCATTGGTTTTCCCTGTTTGATCTTTTGTATGGACGATTCGTGCATGGCCTAATGTCCATCCTCAAGGAATTGTGGCGAAATGACAATCTAGATGCCGAGATCAAGACTATGTATAGATTCATCATCTAGTTACAAGAGAGGCTACAAAACACTTGCAAGATAGCTCACGAAGAGCTTCAGACAACAAAGGCGTCGCCAAAGAAGACAAGACCTCGACAGCTGTCTGCAGGCAAGCAAGCGTTGCTGCTCCGTCCATCGGAAAACAATTAGCTAATCCTCACTTGGGAAGGTCCTTTTACAGTCAGAGAAGCGCAATGGCAATAATTATATGGTAGACCTGGGGTCACGAGTTAGCTTATTTCACGTCAACTTCCTCAAAAGACATGAACAGAAGGGAATCAAATCACATTACCCACAGGATCTCTTTGAATGATTGTGTATCTCCTTTGCCCTGATCAGTCGTGAATTTGTAATGAGCACATTGTAAATAGTGTTTTCTGTTGTCAGTAGTCAGCACTGTGAGCAAGTTGTTTTACCAGGCCTGATGATTGTTATAGCGCGAGATCAGAATGACAACAAAGGGACAAGAAGATGATCCGTTAGAAAAAAAAGGTTAGCGCTGGTCTTCTTCTAGTCCCTTTGTCGTCATTCTGATCTCGCACGATCGTCATGTCATACCAACTAGCCCGAAACGCTATACTTCTATATTTTATCAGTGTTCGTACAGGTTCCCAAAGCGAAAATTCAAGGATATTCAAGGAATTTCCACGACCTATTGCAAGTATTTCAAGGACTCAAAGCAGCATGCTAAGTTGGAATTTTTCACTCTAAAATTTTCAAAATTGACCAATTTTATTGCACTTACAATAAATATATAGATATCGTAATCATGACAAAAATGTAGCCTGAATAACTTCTCGCACTCTCTCCTTCACTTTTCCATAGAGAGAGGGCACAATGCTGTCTGTGTCAATAAGTTTCGTGCTGACGGGCTTCACTGCGTATGTGTAGTCAGGCCTTAAAGGGGTGGTGCCACAACATCTGTGGTTTGAGCGCTCTTTGCTGCAAGCTTCAATTATAGCTCCAATAAGCATGATACACGCACCAAAATTAATTTATTCTCACTATATAATTTGTCCCCTCATTGATATGAACAATTCTCACTTCCTGTTTGTGGGCACAGAGTTGAGCAGGTACGTAGCAGTGTAGCTGACTTAGTCACGCGATCACGAAG